GGCGGGCGGCGCGCGGCCTGACCGCCTGCGGCCGCCCGCAGACATGATGGAGCGGGCCATCATCAACACCTTCGTGGGCCACGACGTCGTGGAGCCGGGCAGCTACGTGCAGATGTTCCCCTACCCGTGCTACACGCGCGACGAGTGAGCGGGCAGGGCCGCGGCGGGGGTGAGGGCACGGCCCCCCGCGGACACCCCGGCGGACCCCTCACGGCCCTGCCCCCCAGCTTCCTGTTCGTCATCGAGCATATGATGCCGCTCTGCATGGTGATCTCCTGGGTCTACTCGGTGGCCATGACGATCCAGCACATCGTGGCGGAGAAGGAGCATCGGCTCAAGGAGGTGGCGGGGGCGGGGCTTGGTGGGCGGGGCCGCGGGGCGGGGCCTAGTGGGCAGGGTGGGGCCAGCACTGCTGGCCAGAGGCCCTGGGCCCACACCTGGTGCCCCCCACCCCGCGCTCCCGCGCGCAGGTGATGAAGACGATGGGCCTGAACAACGCGGTGCACTGGGTGGCCTGGTTCATCACCGGCTTCGTGCAGCTGTCCATCTCGGTGACCGCGCTCACCGCCATCCTCAAGTACGGCCAGGTCCTCATGCACAGTCACGTGGTCATCATCTGGCTCTTCCTGGCCGTCTACGCCGTGGCCACCATCATGTTCTGGTGAGCGCTGGCCGCAGCAGCCCGCCGGGGCCGCCCTGGGCCGGGGCCTGGGGCCCAGCCTGGGCGGCGGGCGGCTGACGGCTGTGCCCGCCCCAGCTTCCTGGTGTCCGTGCTGTACTCCAAGGCCAAGCTGGCCTCGGCCTGTGGCGGCATCATCTACTTCCTGAGCTACGTGCCCTACATGTACGTCGCCATCCGCGAGGAGGTGGCCCACGATAAGATCACGGCCTTCGAGAAGTGCATCGCGGTGAGGGCCGTGCCCGCGGGGAGGGGCTGGGGGCGCGCTCCGCCCGCACTGACTCCGCCGTCCCCTCAGTCCCTGATGTCCACGACAGCCTTCGGCCTGGGCTCCAAGTACTTCGCCCTGTATGAGGTGGCGGGCGTGGGCATTCAGTGGCACACCTTCAGCCAGTCCCCTGTGGAGGGGGACGACTTCAACCTGCTGCTGGCCGTCACCATGCTGGTGGTGGACGCGGCCGTCTATGGCGTGCTCACGTGGTACATCGAGGCCGTCCACCCAGGTACCGGCGACCCCTGGGGGGCGGAGGCCAGGTGGCGCCGATCCCGGTGACACGTGGTCTGTGTTGATGGTGACCCCAGCCCCGGGCCCCCTCCACCCCAGGTATGTACGGGCTGCCCCGGCCCTGGTACTTCCCGCTGCAGAAGTCCTACTGGCTGGGCAGCGGGCGGACGGAGGCGTGGGAGTGGGGCTGGCCGTGGGCTCACGCCCCCCGCCTCAGCATCATGGAGGAGGGCCAGGCCTGTGCCATGGAGAGCCGGCGCTTGGGTGAGGCTGGCGCGGTGACCGGCGTGAGGGGGTGCGGCAGTGGGCTTGGGGCCTGGGGCGGCCCTGTGCTGACGGGCGCCCGCATGCAGAGGAGATGCGTGGCATGGAGGAGGAGCCCACCCACCTGCCCCTGGTGGTCTGCGTGGACAAGCTCACCAAAGTCTACAAGAACGACAAGAAGCTGGCCCTGAACAAGCTGAGCCTGAACCTCTACGAGAACCAGGTGGTCTCCTTCCTGGGCCACAACGGGGCGGGCAAGACCACCACCATGTGAGTGTGGCCGCGAGGCCTCGCAGCGCCCGCCGGAGCGCAGGGTGGGGCGGCAGCAGGGTCCCCGATGGCGTCATGGCCACCCCCCCCAGGTCTATCCTGACGGGGCTGTTCCCTCCGACCTCGGGCTCGGCCACCATCTACGGGCACGACATCCGCACGGAGATGGACGAGATCCGCAAGAACCTGGGCATGTGCCCACAGCACAACGTGCTCTTCGACCGCCTCACGGTGGAGGAGCACCTGTGGTTCTACTCCCGGCTCAAGAGCATGGCCCAGGAGGAGATCCGCAAGGAGATGGACAAGTGGGCGGGGCTCCGGGGCGGCCCAGGAGGCAGGGCTGGGGCACGTGGGCGGGGCCAGGGTGGGTGGGCATTGGGCAGGCCCCGTAGGCCAGCTGGGGCCGCTGTGGGCGGGGCCTGGGCGGGCTCAGTGGGCAGGCGGTGGGGCTCCGTGTGGGCGCGGCTGGGCAGGTTAAGCCCTCCCTCCCCTGGCAGGATGATCGAGGACCTGGAGCTCTCCAACAAGCGGCACTCGCTGGTACAGACCCTGTCAGGAGGCATGAAGCGCAAGCTCTCGGTGGCCATCGCCTTTGTGGGCGGCTCCAGGGCCATCATCCTGGACGAGCCCACCGCGGGGGTGGACCCGTATGCTCGCCGCGCCATCTGGGACCTCATCCTGAAGTACAAGCCTGGTGAGCAGGGCAGGGGGTGCGGGTGGCCCCTGCCGGCCCTGCCGCCCGCCTCCTGACCCTGGCCTCCCCCAGGCCGCACCATCCTCCTGTCCACCCACCACATGGACGAGGCCGACCTGCTGGGGGACCGCATCGCCATCATCTCCCACGGGAAGCTCAAGTGCTGCGGCTCCCCGCTCTTCCTCAAGGGCACCTACGGGGACGGCTACCGCCTCACGCTGGTCAAGCGGCCTGCGGAGCCCGGCGGCCCCCAAGGTCTGTGCTGAGGGTCCCCGTACCCTGGGCTGCTGGAGTGGGGGCCGGGGGCTTGGCTCACCCCTCCAGGCCCCGCCTTGCCCCGCGGTCCCGGCCCTGAGCAAAGCCCCCCCCGCCGCCCTGCCGTCCAGAGCCGGGGCTGACATCCAGCCCGTCCGGTCGGGCCCAGCTGAGCAGCTGCTCGGAGCCCCAGGTCTCCCAGTTCATCCGCAAGCACGTGGCCTCCTGCCTGCTGGTCTCGGACACCAGCACCGAGCTCTCCTACATCCTGCCCAGCGAGGCCGCCAGGAAGGGGGCGTTTGAGCGCTTGTTTCAGGTGTGGCTTTCGGGGACTGGGGCGCAGCAGCAGAGGGCTGGGCTCCGCCTGGGGCCCGGAGGGCTGGGTGGGCACGGGGAGGGCTCCCCGCCGGTGACCGCGGGCAGGGTCTCACGGGCCCTCCACAGCACTTGGAGAGCAGCCTGGACACGCTGCACCTGAGCGGCTTCGGGCTGATGGACACGACGCTGGAGGAGGTCTTCCTCAAGGTGTCCGAGGAGGACCAGTCCCTGGAGAACAGCGAGGCGGGTGAGCCCTCGGGCTGGCATGCGGCCCGGCGCTGCACGCTCCTCTGGGCCCTGGCAGCCCGGGCCTGGGTGGGAACGGGGGCCAGGACGCCCAGCCAGCCTGGGGTGAGGGGACGCCCCCCGGGCCCACG